ACATTGTCTTATTATTACATTGCTGATCTATTAGAGAACAAACTCGTTTAAAATGTGCAATGTTCAGTTATAACATTGTTCAGCCGCCGCCTGCTAGTAGATAACTACTGTGATGTAAGTGGGTTTTGCTTAAAGTCATATTTGTCAAGAACATAAGTACGAGGTTAAGCGAGGAGTAACTGTACTCCTCCATGAATGGAGCGGCAGCAGCCCAACACAAGGGAATATAGCTCATTGTATTTAACCTGCATTCACAGCTCTGTTGTTTTTAAAAATGAAATTTCATTTTAACACAGACATGGTATTGACTTTGAGACGTGAGCTACTTGCAAACACAGCAACTGCTTTTGCACCAAGTTTCCTTCACTTAAGAGATTCAATTTCAGCTGAATTTTGCCTTTTATTGAGTGTCCTCTTGGTTTGTTTTTCACGGAGTTTCCATAAAGGAGCAATGAAACCATGAGGATGAATACAGGACAGCCGCCTCTGCTGAGGAAGGGAAATGTTTCCCAAGTTTTTTCCCCTCTGCTCTGTGCAAATCCCAAACATGCACAACAGATCTGTGTAAAGAACTGTAAAACCAATAGGGTTTGCACTCAATTTTGTTTCTTTGTGATGGAGGGGAAAAAAGCTTTTTAAAAAATGTTATCTATTTTTTCCTTGGGGGAAAAAGGATGCAAAAAGCTTCTCCACAAAAAAAAAACTTTCCCCATCATAAAAGGGCAGACACCCTCCCTTTTCTGCTCACATTTAATGAGTTTCTGCAATGCAGGAGTTCTCTACAGCACAACTGGGCTCTCCTCGTTACCTGAGCACATAGAAAGGAGCACAAGAAGCAGGATGGGAAGGTGCTTTCATCATTGCCAGAGTGAAAAAGCTGCTTCACAGTATTTAATTTCACAGCTAACAAAAATCCAATTTTGTATGATGAATGTCCCCAAGAGCTCACCTCTTACTACTCTTTTGCATTTAAGCATTTTAACTAATGCTAAGGTTAAAGTTATTAGACAACCACCAAGTTATTAGATCCAAAGTGCCAGTGTGGAGACATAAGAAAAGTAATGATTGGGGGGGGGGGAAGCTGTATTATTTTGACTAATTACATATTAATCGTTTTAAATCTTATTTTAAATTTCTCTTCAGAATTTTTTGAGAATCTGATGTGGGGTAGATGTCCCCCCTTCCTCAAGAACATAACAGAAAATGTCTAGAACATCTAAACCCATAATTGAAACTGGTGCATTTATGCACTGGGGTGAATGACTACATAAATAAGCAGTTAGACGTGTAATTGGCCACTCATTACATTACACCACTTGTTCAGACAAATGTATATTCTGTTTCGTTGGTGCAATTGTGCATGTACAGTTGGGAACATCTGGTCTTGTTTATAGCCTTCAGTTAGCATGGCTTAACTCCCGACCAAAGCAACCTTCAAGCACCCAATAAACGTATGTTCTTTCCAGAATCTGAAAAAAACACACAACTTTTGGTGAGCCCCAGCAAAAAAGATACCAGAGTAGCATACTGCTAGGGAAGAGCCAATTGGACCACTACTGTTTCATCAGGCCAACTAGGAAGTTTGATGAGAAAAAACGGGATGCTGTTGACGCATTTCCAAATCCCCACTGCATAAGACTGAACCATGGTGGACTGAGCTAATGCCACAGGATGAAGTTTGGTGCAGGCGACAATGAATCTAGCAGACAAGGAGGTTGCTACAATACTTGGCACCTGCAGCCTCCCTTGTCCCAAGGTGAGGATGAAGGCATGGCACTGGAGCGCTCCGGGGAATTCAGAACCCCCCCTGGAGTGAATGCCTCTGGAGATTGAGGAGCTTCAGCAGCACAGGGAGTATAATTTATACCTCCTTGTACCAGCTCCAGTGAATCTGTCCCATAAAGCCCTTATGTAGCTTCATTAACCTAATTGGAAACCACCTTTATTTAGTGCTATGCAAGTCATTTCTGAGCCTCTAATTATGCACGATTCTCCTTTGAGGCCATATTTCATTCTTCCTTGGGAGTGCTGGAATGGGAGACATGCCATCTCCAGCACGTAACTGCATGGCTGAAACTCTCCTATGGGGTGCACAAGAATTAAGAAAATTCCAATGAAGAGCTTATTTAAGTAGGCATTATGGAGCCTATTGAAATATGAAGTGAAAAAGGAGGGAACTTCATTATAGCTCTGAAACAGAAACAAAACCTGGTAAAACAGCAAAAAAAGGTCAGATCAGCTGTGGAAGTGAGCTGTTTTCTTTTCTTAGCATGCACAAGGAATAAGAACTTGGCAAAGTTTGCAAGACTTCATTATTTCCTTCAGTTATAAGCAGAAACCTGTCAGTGATCCATCCTCTAATACATTAAGGTGCAGGTGTCATCATATGAAATCAGGATGTCAAGAAAATAATCCTTGAGATGTGCTTCTATTTCTAATATATTAGGTAGAATACAGCCTGTTTTTATTGGAGTGCTTGAGCCATTTGTAAACATACTTTTATCAATTCCTCTATTACAATGAGGAATGTATATGTATTACATTGATAGATGTGCTGAGATCACTGACACTAAGCTAGGCTGACTGCAAATCAGTGTGGAGAAATGTGGAGATTTGTCAGGTTTGCGTCTCAAGATAGTCAAGACGACACTAAATCCTGTCTACTTACCTTGCTGGTGAGCCTGGGCAGGGTAAATTAGAATCAGTGAGGATATCATCATAAAAAAATATCCATCTCTTTCATGCGCTGTCTTCTTTCTGGGTTCAGGAAATTTCTCCCCATAACAGATAAATCAGAAAGGAGTTAATTTGTTTTAGCTCATTAAGTAGATGGGATCAGATGGCTGTAGAGGGATTTATCCTGGATTCTACAGACCTTTTCCTCTCATCTAGGGGTCCAAATCTGGCCTGAGGATGTACTGAACAGAAGTCATTACTGTCTTGTGACTGTGTGAAAGGAGGTGGTGGGTTTCCATCCCCTTCCTATGCATATGTTAACATGAAAAAAAAAAATCAACCCCAGCACCACTTACATTGCTGGAAATCCAAGGAAAAGATGAACACAGCAAGCATCTCTCCCTAGAGGTACTCCACCAGGTAAGGGCTGAAAATATGGGAGCAAGGCGGTAAAAGGGAAGCTTACACACCTTTTGCTCTGTAGTAGAGAAAAAGACTTCAAGCTGCAGGAGTGTCCATCACAAATGCTAAATGCACTTTTTTTTTTTTTTGACAGCAGTGACTGCTGCAGTTTTGTCCCTCCTCAAAACGAAAAAAAAAAAAAAATGATAAACTCTACTTGAGCAACCGTAAATGTCCTGTAAGGGAGGGGAAGGAGAATCCCCTCAACCTGTCCTAGCTGACTGCTTAGCCATACTCTTCAGAGGCCCAAAGCTGCGGCTGAATTCGATTTAAGCTCCATTGCTCAAGGTCTCTTCTGAGAAGAGGAGGACTGTAAAAGCTCCTTTCTGCTCAGTTTAATCAGATTTCAAAATGAGAGGAAGTTTTCCTAGCAGCTGCAGCAGCAGTACCAGAAACCCCCGCGTCCCACATTACAGACCCTTTCATTGCCTTCAGAAGAGCAACAACTCACTGACCCCAAATCATATCCAAGACAGAAACACAGACAACAGCTTGACTGGAATTCAGAGCTTGCCCTGCGGCACCCTCTGTCCATTCCCATACCCCTAGTTTAATTGTGAATTACTGTCCGGTCTGAGCTAGTCCTCTCTGCACTTTCCCAGTCTCTTCCCCGTTCCAGCGGGCCCACAGCTTCTCCTGCTGGGGGTCGGGAACCCGCTGGATCCAAGCCCCTACAGACCTCCAGTTCAACCTGCCCCACCAAACAGCAGCAACTGGTCTGCGAGGTTCCCAGCGCATGGGAAAGCAACCACATAGCACAGGAGCCGGAGAGCCAGGAAACCTGTCCATATGCTTAATAAATACGGCAAATCAGAGAAATGCAGAGAAGGACGATATCTTCCCAAATGCTACCCCCCGCTCCAGCTGGGGGACGAATGAGCATTTAGTGAAGAGAACAGGGGATGGTAAGGGGGCGGGGGGTCCCCACCACTGTGAGCTCTTCAGACACGACTGGTTTCCTAACTTGGGGCTCCCCCACAAAGGAATAGGGCCAGGCTGGTCTCCAAAGCTACAGGACCCCTGCAGCCTCCGCCCCCACCTCCCTGCCCAGGGGTCCCAAACACACACAGCCCTGCCCCAGGCACCCTCGCCTGCAGGGGGCTTCCCCTCCCCTTACACACCCAGGCTCTGTGCGTGTCTGGGGGGGGGCACTCATCTCTGGCACACGCAGCTTCACATGAGGGGGCCCTCACACGCTTGCAGCCTCATTGCTGGGGGGCTCGCACAGACACAGGCCACGGCTGAAGCACTCGCCCCCACTCCCCGCCCCAGGCAGCCTGAGCTGGGGCTAGGGGCTCCCTCGCATCCTGGGGCAGGGAAGCGCTCAGCCCTCCACCCGTGGGGTGGCACCCACAGGGCCCTTGAGTCATGCGTGTGCGCGCATACGCCTGTATGCGAGGGCAGGTGTGCATGCGTGTACATATATGCATGTGCACGCATGTGCAGGTGGGTGCATGTGCATTTGTGCGGGTGGGTGCACGCGTGTGCGGGTGGCTGCGTGTGCACATGTGCATGCATGTGCAGGCAGGTGCGTGTGCACCGGTGCAGGTGGGTGCCTGTGCGCGTGCAGCCGTGTGCGCGCACCTGTGGCGCAGCCCCGCGCCG